ATATATATATATATCTTGTTCAAATTTTCAATCGTTAGTAAAATACTTTTCATTCATCGACTCAAGTTCAAATACATTTTTTTTTAAATTGTAGTTAATGACATTGATGTTAATACAGTTTTTTCAAATATTAATTCTTTAAATAATGCGCAAATAGTAACTAATAAGAATAATAGTCCTACACCATATATAAAAAGGAATATCGCTCGTTGTGTTCTTGTAGCGCAATGTGTAACGCGTTGAACTTCTAATCGAAAAGTCGGGGTTCCAATCCCACCTGGAATAGTCTAACTTGTTAGAATGTAAGATCTTTTTGCTATACTATTTTATTGGAAGAATTAAATTTAATCAATGAATAAATTGTAACAAAACACAAATAATAATACAACACTCTATATGAAAAGGAAAATGGGGAAATTGCGAAGAAAATCGCTGTGTCTATTTTGCTACTTAAAATATTGTGCTTCTGTCATAAGTACATATTTATACTAATTGTAATTATTTAATGAAAAGTAACTAAAATATTAATTTTCTTTGTTGACCTTAGTAGGAAATGACCTTAAAAGGTTTTTTGTTGCATATTACTTGTTTTTAAGAAAAATATTATTTTGAGAGTGATTTGATTTAAAATATTTAGAATTTGTTGTTGTGACCTGATAAAAGAATTAACGATTTTCTGTAAAGTGTGTTAGTTTTTAAAAGATTGGAATAAAACTAATATTAAAAATTTTAGGGATTAATAAACTTATTGTTTTTTATCTATTATTGATATGTACTGGGGGTACCCATTGACCAATTACCGTTGTACAAATTATTCAACTGTTCATACTCATTGTTCAAATTGTAAAAAGTGTAATTTACATGTATTTTATAGTTCTATTTTTTTCAATGTATTGTAAGCGAGAAAAAAAAATTTAAGTCTTCATCTCCGCATTTTAATTTACAACCATAACATTCAACAGGACTTATTGCCCTTTTCAATTCCTACTATTAGTTCACGCTCTCACTATATATATATTTCTCTCTCTCTCTCTATGTATATATATATATCTTGTTCAAATTTTCAATCGTTAGTAAAATACCATCAGTATGTGTAAAATCAGTCATCTTGAACATATTGAGAGCTAAACTTCGGGTACTTTTAGCTTTGAATGAAGATAAGGTTTCATATATGAAACATAAATAAAATTAATCCCTGATTATATCATAAATTCTGACATCAAAACAATTTCAAAATGATATACCTAGGTCTGCAATCCTTTACTTTTGAAGACTTATCAAATGCACATGGTAAATATACAGAAACTTAACAGAAACCCACCATGAAAGCGCCACAAATTCTCAATACATTTCATATTCCCAATTTCCAACCAAACTCAGTGTTCAATTCCGGACTAAATGGTAGACAACCTATCAGGCCGTTACCAACGTTACGCCATCCATGGACCTTAATTTCTCTTAACCTCGTCGCCAGTGACTCTATCTGGGCGAAGACCAAGACGCGAACGGTTTAAACCGCAGTTAAATTTCGCATAATTTCGACTGCACGTATCTCACGAAGCCATCTCAAATTAGGTCTTAGCCGATGCGAGAGAAATTTAATTTTTGGGCTGGAGGGATTCAAATTACATAAATGGGGTTAAATTTCCCAGTGAGAGTTGGAGGAGGGTTGGGCTTGGAGAGTAGAGGAGATGGGAAGGTTTTATTTGAGAATTGGACGTGAGCCAGTTAAAATTGTTAACAAGTGGTGATGAATTCAATGGAACTGAAATTCTGTTCGAATTAAATTGAGTCTCATTTTCTAAAATTATCGAATAAAAGCTGGTATACTAATTTTCGAGAGAGATGCAGTTAGATGTATGAACCTTCGTTACGTGAATGTCAGAATGAGAAATTTAATTTCTATCTAATCGTAAAATTTACCAATTAGTAGAATGGAGAGGAGTCATCTTCAATTAAAACTACAGTTCCATTTTAAATGAGATAATGCATAGTTTTTATTTAATTATACTTAACACTTTTTTTGTTAAATCTGTTCCCAACTGAATGTTGTTCAGTAAGATTTTTAAGTTTCTCCCGAAGTTGAGAAATATAACCTATGTAATTTATACTTCAAGATCTTTTTTAATTCCTATTATTAGTTCACACTTTCTCTCTATATATATCTTGTTCAAATTTTCAATCGTTTATAAAATACATTTTAAAGCGCTCAATTAAGCTGAAGTTTTGTATACACGATTATTTTTCATGCCAATACGGTAATTTACTTAAAACTAATAAAAATTAATTGATTCAAACTAATTATTCTAAGAATTACAAGTACAGCCACGTTGGTATCATTTTTACCGACTTAGCAACCATTTTGGTGACTTGAGTCAAAACTTAAAGATGTTTTCTCACATTTTGAGCTGAAATTTTCTATACACGATTGTTTTGGGTGACAATACGATATTTGAATTATAATGAATTAAACGTAATTGACCGAAACTACTAATTTAAAGAATTATAGATACAGCCACGTTGGCTTTATTTTTAGCGACTTGGGTCAAACTTTTAAGGATTTTTTTTCTCTCGTTTAAATCATTCCGTTGAACTGAAATTTTATATGCACAATTGCTTGGTATGACAATACATGATAAGTAATAGAAATTAATTGCCACTTTATATTGTGATTCTGTCATATGTACAAGCATATTTTTATTTTTTGTAATTATTTAATAAAATATAACTAAAATAAAAAAATGTGTTGATCTAAGTAGGAATTAACTTAAAAAATGGTTTTTATATTACTTGTTATTTTCAGATATGTAAGTAGCTCAATATTAATTGAAGTATATATCAGTATAAAATATACATGTGTGTACTCGTTTACCATACTGCGTTCTCGCAGTTTATTATCTTTAAATATACATGCATTAATTCGCCTTAACATATAAAGCTAAAAGAAAAGGAGGGAGGATGCATGAGTCTCTATATCCGGGGTGGGCATTACGTCAATCGCGATCGACCGGTGGACCGCCAAGACAATTTGGGGTGACCTCCTGAAGGTTAGCAGTCAGTAATTATATTCGAAAATATTCAAGATTGGCTGACAGTACGCCGACTAAGTCTTCTAGACTACAGGTATAATTACGAGAACTAATTTTAGAAGAAAATGTTTTATTTTTTTAATGTATTTTGAATTGCTTGATTATAAATGCATCATTAGATCTTATTATATTTCTGGCTATTATTATTATGTTTGTATTTTGATTTTGTCTTTACAAACGTGGTTTCAAAAAATTGAGTTTTTTTATTTTATTTACGAAGGGGGTAAGTACATATTCTGTATTTATTATAAGTTATAATAAATATTGTTGACCTTTTTTCCTTACCCCACCGCACCTACGATACTGGGAAGTGGGCACACTCGTGAATTTTTCAAAGGGGTCTTGGTGGTCTAGGGTGGAATGTCTACCATTCTCATATCCTACCCCAATACGCAGCCAAACATTTTTTTTTCGTTGTTTAGATTGTCAGGAACAAAGAACAGTAAGAAATAAATTATTGAATAAATAATTAGCATTAATAAATAAAAAAAATTATTAGTAACAAATAACATGGGATTATAATCAATCGGGGAAAAATTCCTGGGTGCTAGAGGAGAGTTCGGATCCATGGAGCCTCCCCCCCCCGTTTTTATGTATGCCACTGATACAGGATGCACTGCAACACCTTGAAAAAATTAGAAGTAGCCCGCACCCTGTAAAAGTCTGCCCACCCCTGCTCTATATATTTCACGTGCATTGGCCTTCTCTGCACGGCGGGTCTTCAGCGGTACTAGGCTCGAATTCATGACATCTCAGTCACGATTCGGTGACCTTAGTTTCGATTTGGAAAATTTCTTTTAGTTCGGATTACGTTTTTTTTTGGGGGGGGAGAGATGGGGGGTATTATTCTTGATCTAGCACCTTCACTCTCAGTTTTTAATAAGTTTGCTATACATTATGAGTTGATCTTGAAATATATAATTTTAAACTCCGTAAAATATATATAACAATCAGCATTATTTATATTTGATTTAAGATAACACTTTAATGTGAATATATTCAGGAATTCTCTACGACCAGCTTTAAAAAAATAATAAGTATACAAACATTGCCTCTTTTTATGAAAATAATTTAGTTTAAAAATTATTTTAAATACAATTTTAAGCACGATAGTTTATATCTTTCCGACTAATCCATGGCCCCATTTGAAAAAAAAAGTTTACTTTTTTTCCTGTACCAATAAAACATCTGACGTTCATTCATTGCTAAAATATTGATGAAGAACAATAACTGTTTTATATAGTTTTGTTTATAAATGACATAAATGTAGGTTCATTTCATGTTGCAATTTCACCAATCACATCCCAATTGACACCTTAAACAGAAATATTAATTAGGTGTTATAGTTTGAAGGGAAAAAATTAGATGCATAAGTTTTTATGTTATTACCATCAATTACAAAATATTTAAGTATAGAATAACATTTCCTTACTTCAATTTACGGTTTAAAAAGGCAAGAACTTATTACTTATTCAAATCCACTGATATTTTTTTTAATTTTGAATTGCAATTTTAGAATGAAATGAAAATTGGATAATCACAAATAATGACTCATTAATAATGGAAAAAATCATGCTACAAATTTAAATTTAGATGTACAATAATTTTATTACTTTCAGATTAGTTTTGTAATTTTTAATATATAAAATTAATCACAACAAAAATTAAAATTTGTTCAATAAACAAGTAATATAAAAGAAAATTTTTACGTCAACAAAGACAAATTTTATTTTAGTTACTTTTTATTAAGTAATTGCAGTTAATATATATATATATATATATATATATATATATATATATATATATATATATATATATATCAGAACCACAATGTTAAGTGATTTCTCTTTGTACATATGGTTTGTTGGACTACTATTCTTGCTTATGTTACTATTCACATTCTCAGAAATTAGGCCAAGTAGAATTCAAACCCACGACCTTTGGATTACGAGTCCTACGCGCTAACCATTGCGCTACGGGGACACAAAACGCAAATTTTCTTTTTATATATGGCGCTGGGCTATTATTTTTGTTTGTTGCTATTCATTCATTCTTTAATTTAATTAATGAATTAATCTTTGAAAAAACTGTATTAACATCAATCGTCAACCACCACAAGTTTAAATATTATCTGAAACTTGAACGGATGAATAGAAAGTATTTTATTAAAGATTGAAAATTTGAACAAGATATATATATATATATATATATATATATATATATATATATAGAGAGAGAGAGAGAGAGAGAGAGAGAGAGTGAACTAATAATAAGAATTGAAAAAAGGATGAAATAATACATATGGAATCCGATAAATATATATGTACTAAGGAAACATTAATGAGCACTTAAATTTGCAATAATTTAATAAACGAAAACACGATAAAAATAAATCTTTTAAATAAGAAACTTAAAGCAGAAATTTCAAAAGCTGTTTTAATTCAATAATTAAACAGTTTAACTTAATCAGAAAATTTTAAAGTTCATTCTTTTAAGCATTTCGTAACTGTGTTAATTTTAAAAGACTAAACATTTAACTGCCATCCACATTTTTTCCAGTATTCCAAACTCTAACTACACTTAAAGGCAACAATCCCGCAAAGTCATTTAAGGTGATTTATATTAAATATTGCACTTTTGCAGAATTTTTAAAAGATGCTCTTCAAGATTCAATTCACAAGTCTCACCGGAAAAATCTGACCTTTTCATTCCCCCACCCGCCGAAAGCCAAGGGCTCTAAACGAAGTTTAAATTCTCTTCCTACTGATTCGTGCGAGGTTGCAACCGAATTACCTTATCAGCATTTTAAATTTTCTCCTGGATCGGCCAGTGGAGCACCACAAACTACAAAAAAAAAAGAGAGAGATTGATCCATAAACGAGCTTGCTTCTGAATTTTTAAAGTTGCAAAAAGTCAGTTTTTTTTTGTCTCTGTCATCTTGCTATAAGTGATTTTTTCCAGATACGAATAAGTATTTAATTCTGTAGAGATTAAAAGAACAACAATTATAATAAGTAAATTTTTTTTGAAAGAGAAGGGTTTTAACCACAAAAGGGGTATGTTAGGGACTATATAATATATATAGTATAATTAAATAAAATAATAAGAGACAAAATTGTACTTCCTACAAGACTAAAAAAGAAAGAAATTGGATTTTAAGAAACATATCAAGAAAATAAATGGGGCAAAAGAATATTGTACTGAAATTGGATAAAAACAGACAAACAGGAAACAAAGATGTATAGCTATTTTAATTGAAGATACTAACAGAGTCTTTGGACTTAAATGGAAACCAATTCTGATTTCTAAAATTGCTGCTGAATCAGGCCAGCGAATTAAGGACAAAGCAATATTTTATGGATCAACCTTCCCCTTACAGCAGAAATTTTTGACATGATAGAAAAAACAGAGCCATGTTGAAAAATTAGTCCTATACCTATCACACGTGGATGGAACACCAGACAGTAAAATAAAATGAAAATATAAATAGTGAGAATAGTAAGGTTTCTCTCATAGAGATGAATATTAAGAAAAAGAAAATTTTTAAGAAAAACTAAGATAAAAACTTCCATGTAAAAATGGTAACCATTAAAGCGTTTAAAGACACAGCATCTTAGTCAGAAATCGCTTGAAAAGTGGCATGTTATAAAATATATGAATATATATATATATATATATATATATATATATATATATATATGTGTGTGTGTGTGTGTGTGTGTGTGTGTGTGTAATAGATCATGGTCGGTGGGATCGCATTTCTTTGCACTTGTTGTAGTGATTTAATTCCAGCTATTGAAGGAAGGATGCATGGTTAGTTTCAGGACATTTTTATTTCTTAAGACATGGGATATGATGATAAACAAACACATAATTTTAGAAGTAACAAATCAGAACTTTACGGCAATTAAAAACAGTCCCATACCAGTACAAAAAGCTGTAGTACACTTTCACAAGACGAAGACAAAGACACAGGCACACAAAGAACTAGGACTCTTAAATATTGAAGACAAACAGACAAAGAGAAAAGGACAAAGAACTCAGGATATTTATATGAAGCAGCAAATCTGCATGATTTCTTTTTATGGAGGTTGCTATGATTCGAGAAAAGCTATCACTGGATAGTTTCTGACGCAATATTACTTTTAAAAGATGCAAGCTGTTAACTTTTAAAATTCGATTACGATTACATCCCAGTTATGCGGGTAGACTAGTTAAATATTTAAACGCGAGTCCTGAAGAAAAGGACCATCAAAAATTAAAAATTATTCAGGATGAAATTAAAGTGAATTATTACACACCCATACACACACACACACACACACACACACACAGATATATATATATATATATATATATAGTTTAGTTATTTTACAAACAAGAGATAACATCCAACAATCACATTCGAAAAACACATAGACAGTAGGAAAATCACACAACAATGAAGGACACATGAGCAACCGAGATTAAAAATTATAAAATGGATGCTGCAGTATTATAAACATTGCTGACTTAGGACAGCTAATATATAAAATAATTTATATAAAAGTAGGGTTGAACATGTTTTTTGGCCAGCCAACCTTCCCCCTTTATGTAAATAATACTGAGAAAAAACCTATTGAAAGTAATGGATAGGAATATCTATATCCATTACAAGATAGAGGTAACTTACCTAAAAATTGCACTTGAAAATCCAGAGCCCGGACTAAATCTGAGTGCAATAAATAATTTATTGCCAGATTCTGGACCCTAATGTAGATTCAAAGTATGTGAATGGCTGAAATGTAGCACTTAACAAAAGTATAGAAAAAATAAAAATTAATAAGAGTGTTACACAAATTACCATAACTTAAGTGATGCTAGAGTATATATGAATTAAATAATAAGTAATTTTATCTAATATTAGAATATGGAGGTAACTATAACTATGAAATATGTAAGTATATTGTAATAAACTATTATCAATCTCAGAATTTTTAATCTTTACTATTTTGAATAGCTTTTTTCATGTAACTATTAATAAAATTAATTGGGTATTTCTGATTTAAGCAATACTTAGTAAAAGTTTTATAGTTATTTATTATTTCTGATTTTCTTGACACCAGAAATTTACTGCGCGGTATGTAATTAATAACAATATTTCTGAATATAGAAACATGTACATTACTCTCTCAATGAGGAACTTTTATAATATTGAAACTAAATTCTTCTCTTTTATCATAAATATTAGAAACTATTACATTATCTTGTAATTTGATATGTATTTCAAGAAAATTTGCTTCATTTATGTTACTATTTGTCTGTATTAAATTAAGATATTGTGGATAAAAATTAGTGTTAGGTATAAAATTGACTTGCTTGCCAAAAATGATTATGTCATCTATATAACGATAAAAATAATATTTAGAATCATTAATGTAACTACTTTCAAAATATTGTAAGCATAAATTGGCAAGACAGTTGCTCGCAGGGCCACCTTGTGGCAAACCTTTAACATGCAGATAATAGTTACCCTTATGATATATATAGTTCTCTTTAAGTACAAACCTAAGTAGTGAACTAAATCTATCATAATTAACATTATTAAATAAATTATCTTTATGTAAATTTACAAGTATATTATTCAAATCATCAATATTAATAGAGTTAAAAAGATCTTCAAAATCTAAACTATAGATTGAATAAATCTTTTTATCTTTCATTTGTTCATAATGAAAGATTTGCTGTGGATTTAAGATTGTTTATTGCATCATGTAATATTTCATGGAGAATTTTGCCTGTTTTGCTGATATATGTATTAAATTCATTTGTAACTGTCCTAAATTTGACTGGGTCTTTATGAAAATAGGGAGTAAGAAATATATGTGGAAATTTAAAATTATTATTAATTTGAATTCTTAATTGTTTATGAAAAGCCAAAATTCGATTATTTATTTCTCTTTCAGAAACTGATGACTTAATAAAAGCTGTATTATTATCAAAATAATTGTCGATCATTAAACTATAATAGTATTTACATATGAAGGCAAAATTTCCTGGCACTTTATCAACATAAACTATATTAAATTTATTTTGCAATTTTTTAATCTGATTTTTAATATCATTAAAAAAAAGATTTCATTATCTATACCAAAGTTATATTTTTAAGCTGCTGTGTGTAATATTACCTATGAATTCTGTGAATGCCTCTATAGGCATACTATATTTAATAGCTATTTTGTATATAAATTGCTCAATATCATTAGATAACTGATTTTTTATAATTTTATTATTATTTAAAGTCCTTAATCTAAAACCAGTATCTTTATTCGTTATGTTTCCAAGATTATTGCCTTTTACAATATTGAGGTCACCAGTAATAACATGCTTGTGATGTTTATCAATGAAGTCTTTAAATTCATTACATTTACATATTAAGTTATGTTGCTTTACAGGCACATTATAGTAAAAAATTGATCTACCTATTTTTTATTGTCTTTAAAAGCTTTTTTGATAATAATATTTTGTATTGGGAAAAATAGCATGTGTTTTTTAAAAATGTCAGAAAAATTAATATTATCATATGATTTATTCATATATAAAAGTGTACAATATTCTATTTGATAATCTTTATTTACATTAACTTTTATGTTATGTTTATGTTTCAAAAATTTGTTAATGTCTTTTAGAATATGCAAAGCATAGCAATTTTTAATTTTATGTGAAATTAGTACATTTTCTGTAATACATAATTTTCTCTTACTGAGTACGAACATAAAAGCTTTAATGTGTTTTATGTAAAAATTGTTATCAAAACTATTACAAATACCTATAATGCTATCTGTAAGTATTTTTTTGTGCCAATTAATCTTTTAGTTCTAGCACCTCTAGTTTTCTTTTATTAGATATTTCATTAATCTCTTTATTGTAATAATAATCTTGAGAATTTTGTTTAATTGAATTTAGAATACTTTTTCCTTGGTAGTCCATAAGGATAA